TTTTGTAGAAATATGGCTAATTCTCTGGAGGAAATTATGCAGAGGAAACGGAAGTGTAATGGTGCGGTGCATTTAATGTACAAGGGATTGTGTATCCCCTCCCAAATCCCCTCCTCTGGTGCAGTTATAATTCGGCAGCGAGCCTGGGAATCCCAGACATCACGTGCCAGGATTGTGGACCCCGAAGCAGGGGGCTGACGGCACAAGTGTCTTTCTCCACAACTCATGCAAATCTGCCAACTATGCGTAAGCACATTTCAACCTAATGAAGTACAGCTGGGTAACTCGAGGTGGATTAGTAGGTCTGGCTAAATGAGGGCACGTTAGAGACAATCCGCGAAGTCGAAACAATGGGTGCGATGTTATTTCGTTCGTCATGTGTGTCGGGTATTGTAGCCTAAATGCTGTTTAGTACTTAATGTGCGTTAAATAGACGTTGTCTAACTTGTGGTCCGTTAAGAGAAACGTGAATTCGAAATTGTAACGCGAAAGAATAAAACTTTTTTTTGTGTGTGAAAGGACGCGACATGGCGAGCTCCTCCTGTTCATTTGTTGCAGTGGATGAGTTACTTGTGGCTGGGAACAGTAGTGAAACGTTTCAGTGTGCTATAGGCAGAATTCTTCAATTTTATTTTAGTTCTGTCTCCTATTCTGAAAAACCTAAGGAAATGAATGATGGACAACCATTAAATTTCACCCCAAAACTGAAGAATTGTGTGCGTCACTTTAGTAGTAAGATATATGAAAGTGATCATTGGATTGGAGGGTGTGAGATTAAAATCAAAATATATAGTTGGAGTCGATCTTCGGTCGAGCCCTCAAGTCAGAAGGACGTGACCACTATATTTTCCAGGAAACAGCGGCGAATAGATCTCGACTTCAAAAATTAGTTATGTACTTTTTTTATGGTTCATTGTTCAGTTTTATTGTTTTGTTAATGTAAGTTAGTGGATGCAATGAGAAATTGGTGATTTCCAAGGAAAATACAGAAGGTATCTAATTTGCAAAATAATCTTCTAAAATATTTCAAAGTAAAGTAGAATAAAGACTTTAAATATTTGGAATTTAGCGTTCAACCTGTAATATCATGATCGCATCCCCAAGTCTACTATCCAGGAGATGCCACTGACATTTACTTAGTTTTATTCACATGACCAAATGATTTAAAAATCTAATATTAAACAATTAATAGATTTAAAATTCAATCTTTAACTTCAACATTGTTGCAGAAGGACAGGTTCGTGCAGAATTATGTGGAAACTAATTCTCGCACGTCCACAAAGTAAGATTCGTTCGTTATTCTTGCCACGCCAACGCTGCAATCGCAGTTCGACGCATACGTGGTAGGTGCTCTGTGTCAAGATGGACATGACGCCATTTTGAGATCGCTGTTTGTTTACGCTGTAAAACAGCTGAAATTGAGTTGAAATTCGCAGTTGAAATTCGTTGTAGCGCTGAAGTTGATTGAGAATCTCTCTGTTTGTGACATTGGATCTGTAATTCGTTTTCTTCACGTGAAGAACAATAAACCATTCGACATTCATCCACAGATTTCTAAAGCCAACGAATAAAATGCGATATGTGTTTTAATAGTAAGGAGAGCTGTCCGACTACCGCCCTCTGGAGAACTTTCAGAGGTCGCTGGAATTCCAAGATCTCATCCATACTCCCTTCACTTCTATTAAAACATGGAATCACACGGGATTGGACGTCACTACTGTCACTTTGGTACCGTTCAAGATCCCGATATAATGACAGCGTAACAACTGACAAGTGACAACGGACTTAATGTTTAAATCGAAATATAGAGTACGCAGATGCGCGAGGCGAATGTCAGCACAATATACTTTCTGAAAACCGGCGCCTATTGGCCGACGCCCGAAACTTGGGTGCCTGCCTAATTCGATATATCGTAAAGACTGAGAGTTCGAATGACGCGCTTCCACAAAATGCTGGAAATACCCGAACAGCCGAGATTCTCCCAACGCAGCGATGAGTAAGAGTACGTATCGCGGAAAGAATACGAATCACTACGGACCACCGAGTCACCGACGGGCGGCGAGCTCTCAATTTGATGCACAATATAGGCAATTATTTAAGAGTTTGTCTTTGTTCTATGACTATTTCTTGTCTGTTTCCTAATTATTTTTTTAATATTCTTATATATTGATTAATTATTCAACTGTTGCCCAAAATGTTTAAAATGTAGTACATGCATAGTATTTAACGTTCAACTATATTATGTAATTGAATTGAATTTGTTATAACTTAAATTAATGGTCTATATTAATCAATTAGGTATATTTTTATCATGTCATTTAGAAAGTTAATTATTATGTAAGTTTATAATAAAAGTATTATTATTATTATTATTATTATTATTATTATTATTATTATTATTATGTTTGATCATCGACATATGTATGGATAATCCCTAGGATTTAGAGATAATCAAAACAATCTATGTGAGGAAAAATACAATAAAACCATGAATGAATAGTGTTAACGGAGTTAATCAGAATGGTCATAATAAATTGTGTTAATGAAATGGTGATAATCTATGGTGAATCTTTATGCAACATACATTTCGATGAAGAGTTTCATTAGCTTACAAAACGTTTCAGGTATGTGTATATAAAGGGAGACCAATTACTTCTTTTGTTACTTTTAATTTACTACATAAAGAAGTAAGAAAAATCAACTTTTTCAGTATCAGGGACACACAAACTTACTTGTCGAAAATCGTTTTTTTTCTTCTTGCAGCATTATAATACTTTGTCTACATTACATAGTACACGCGAAAAAACATAACTATCTCTCAAAAAATGTTTAATTTGTGTATCATACCAGTAGCAAATTAATTATGTTAAATAAAGGGACCAACGATGAAGACAGACTTGACGGCGGTTTGGTCAATAGGAACGACCCAAGTGGATTTGGCCACAGAGCAGTAGTGAATCGTCATTTGTTTATATTGCGCCAACAACTGGTAGCGGCGCGGTTGGCGCAGAGTTTGCTTGAATGTGGGAAATCGAAAGCACTTGCTGAGAACCTTGAAGTGTTGAATCGCTTCAAGGCCATGAATTGCAATATTTAAATGTAATATTTCATTGAAGAAAAGTCCTAAAAATGGCAACCAAGGTTTGTATTTCCTTTAAATTCTTCAACATTACAACATCATCTTTTCATTAAATATAATCGTACTGTTTATTATATTCTGATCAATATAAATATTAACAATGTGTTTTCAGGTTGAATTTGCAGTTGAAATGACATGCAACAATTGCGTTGATGCAATTAAAAATAAGTTGAGTAATGCTGAAGGAATTCATAATTATAGTGTGTCTTTAGATGAAGGATTTGTTGTTGTTGAGACATCTTTACCATCTGATTATGTCAAGCAATTAATAGAATCAACTAACCGTCGGGCAGTACTGAAGGGCTTTGGAGGTTAGGAACATTTCAGTGCCTTCATTATTTTCTGAAAATAAGTGTGGATTTATCATACATATAAGGAACCGATGTATTTCATAATTTTTAAAAGTGTTTTCTCACTGACTGTGACTGTGACTTTTGAATGTAAACGTCATAGTATTTGTCATACTTCCTATGTGCTGAATATTCTTTAAATATGGCTGTCAAAATATTCAACAAGATTTCAATATTGTGAATTTCCTGTGGTTTAATTTAAGATGGTGAAACGTCTGCAGCTGTTGCCATGTTGGGTGGTACCCAAGGTGCTAGCCTTGGTCCCGTAAGAGGTGTAATCAGATTTCACCAAATGGACAACAATAAATGTATTATTGATGGCACGTTGGATGGGCTAACTCCTGGCTGGCATGGTTTACACGTGCACGAATGTGGTGACATTTCTCAAGGATGTGAAAGGTTAAAGGAAGCATAAGTTAATAAGCAAAATATTGACATTTGTTCTCCATTTCCATAAATGATTGCTTTACAATAGAGACAGAAGTATCATACTTGTAATTTTAAAAAAATAAATTATATGCTATGTGTAATGAATTGTGCATATTGGTCAGAATTGTACAAAAATGTGAAAATCGGTGAAAGCTCTTATACATTTTTTAAACTTGGATGAGATAATTGGCAGTGTAGAAATGGAAAATGGCTTTGTTTCAGTGTGGGGTCCCACTTCAATCCGGGGAATACAAGGCATGGTGGCCCTGGTGATGAGCCAGAACATAGAGTGAGTAATAATGCTATCAAGAGTTGGTAAGAAATAATCAGGTCTTCCATCATGTGTAGCAGTGTACTTATGACAAAATTTCTGTTGAAATTATTATTGAGTAAATTACTAAGATGCTAGGGTTATTCCAACACATAAGTGTACTGTATTTCTCTCTCACTTTATTTTCCTTTCTTTACTATTCAGATTTGAAATGTTTAATATTTACTTACTGAAATGTTTGTTTGTTTTTATGCCACGTGTCAAAAATCACTGGTGTGAGAAATTTAGAGAATACATTACTTACTATAATCTTGGTGCACAATTGTACATCAGATCATCCTTAGGCAATCCTCTTGGTCTCTTTCATACATTTTTTAGCAACAATCAATCTCATACAATATAGTGAAAAATTGAAGAAGAAAAATATAATTTTATTTTTGCTTCTATATATTTGTATGTCATCGTGCTTTAAAAACTTAGCTGCTTTGGGCGTTAGTGGGCAGGTTGTGATAAATCAAATCACTTTACAGGGTGGGATGAGAAATTATCTAACTCATTACTGTCTTGAGTGGAACGAGATGATTCATTTTTGCAATATTGCTCATGGTAAATAAGTTTGTTTCTTGCCAAATTCAAACCACATTTTGAAGTCTGTTTTAGATTGAAAAAGCATTTGTTTGGGAGGTTAATTTGAGGAATAAGATAATTGTTTTAGAATTTAGTACTGGTCTGATTGTCTTATGTTATAAATGCATGGAAATCGCAATTTTCAGAGCTGTGTAAAGGCAAGGCAGTCTGGAGATGGAGGCATTGTTTAAATTGCTCAAATTGTGACATCATTGTTTGAGTCGGAGCTGCCGGGATCTGCGAGGAAGAACGTTGTGTGTGATAGAAAATTTTCAGATTTCCTTTCGCTGTTTGAACATAATCAACGACCAAAATCGTATTAATCAACAGTTAAACGGTACAAATATCGAAAAAACAAGTTTATTATGGCATCTGATTTTACTAGCACTGATTATTTTTATATATAAGTATATCCATTTTAGGGTTTCTTAAAGTAGCCTCCTTTTAAATCCTGCTGTTTTATGCTACATAATAATAGTAAGAAATAGGTAGCAGGGGTCTTGGTAGGTGGAACTTTTTATCACGGTACATATTTTTATAATGTTCTAATGAAACGGTTACATAAAATAGAATTGCTTCCTCCTAAGCAATAAATGAAATCATACTTAAATATTACACCAACTACAATCTCCAGGTCCTCTCATGTCAATTTTCTGTTTTGTGCTCTTGATGAAAATCTCCAATTTAGTGCTCACATGCATGAGTTTTCAGTTTCCAAAAACTGAAAATAATATTCTAATCACATGTTAGGTTTCTTTCTTTTTTATTCACATTTGTTAATGTTTTGTTGAGACATTTATCATTAATTACATTTCTATAATTGTTAAAGGAAATGTTGTTTAAAACATTACAAATTCAATGTACTATATATTTTACAATACTTTTATGGGACAAGTTGCAGCATGAATCTACAGTCAATAGCAATTACCTTGTTGCTCACCTGAGACATAAATGTATCATTCAGAATTTTCCTTTTGTCACTACAATAGAAAAAATAATTTTCACCTCTAGATAGGTCATTTGTATCATGACCATATCTCTTCTCTATTAAATGCATTTTGTATTTTTGTTACAAAATATAGTAAATTATTCAGACTAATTTAAATTCAATGATTGCCTCCTGCTGTTTTTTTTTGCTTCCTATGGTATGCATTGAATTGCACTTCAAAAATGTTCTATAAATGTTTAAAAAAATGATAGAGACTTTCTCTCTGTCTACAAAGCTATTGCTGCTACTGAGCTACCTCTTTGTGTGTAGTATGATTACAAGTATCCTTACTTCAGCATGCTGGTGACCTGGGTAACATAAAAGCTGATAACTCTGGGCGAGCATCCTTCAGACTGATGGACAACATTCTAAAAGTTCAAGATATTATTGGCAGATCAATTGTAGTAACTGAAAATGAAGATGATTTAGGACGCGGTGATCACTCCGCTTCTCACGTTGATGGCAACAGTGGTACACGGTGAGTATGTATGCGTTATCCCACAGTTTTGAGGATCATAAAATAAGTTTCCCATAAATTAACAAAACCCTTGGAGTGAGTGCATGTGTGAGATGGGGGGAGGGGGGCTACAGTCCTATTGTCCAAAGCTCCCCCCCCCCTTGCATGCACCACTGTTAATGAATGATTTTTATATGTAATGGAAGTAGGTGTGAGATGCATTGGTTGTTATGGATGACTAGATGATTGGAATATTAATAATATACGTATTCATTTGCTGTATTATATAATGCATAGAACAGAGGTTTTACTTTTTTTTAAGCTTACAATGTGAAGCAATGTTCTGCAATTTTAATATTAATTTTTTCTTTATAATTATGTATTGATTTGTTACAGGTTAGCTTGTGGAATTATTGCAAGGTCAGCAAGATTATTTGAGAATACCAAACGCATTTGTGCTTGTGATGGAGTCACTTTGTGGGATGAGAGAGAAAAGCCATTGGCAGGGCCAGGCAGGCAACAGCAAGCGAATTTGTAAATATATTTGCTGTTTATCAAATATATCCAAGTTCCATTTGACAGGTGTATAAAGGTTTTGTAAAAAGACATTATGTAGAAATATATTGCTCCATTGAAGTGGTATGTCAACCTCTTTTATCTGCAATGGATGCAGAGATGAGTTACAATGAATTTTGAAATTGATGAAGAACTATCGTACACATATATCGTATGGTTTCATCTATGCAAAATGTCCAAATAATAAATAAAAAATTGTAAATCTGAAAATTTATTTTATGAACAACCTAATTGTTCGAATATTGAATAAAAACCAAATTAAGACTTCCTACCCAGCTTGTCCGGTTGTGGAGGTATGCAGCTTGTTAGAGGCAACACTCTTCTACAGGATAGACAAATAATCTTAGACCTAAAAGTACGAAGTGGCTGGCAAGCGGCGGTGATTCACACCAGCCAACACCACACAGCCTGGAGCCCGTTATTTATGGTTGGCATGTTGATCACAATAACTTGGTATTCTGTGTTTCAACTATGGAGGCATGAGTAAATATGCTTTTGAACAGGGAATCTTTCTTAAGAACACATTCTTTGAATATAATTCTGCCATCCATAAATTTTTATGCATTGTGTTTCGAGACGGTCTAAATCAATAACGTGTTATGGCCTCTAAGGTCACCTGATCTTAATAATCCCACTGCGCTTTTCTTCGTCTCCGTCACAAGAACACGTGCGCCAGGATCAGTATTACCGGGCGGAAGAGTTGATGCGTGTGTACATCGCACTTCTGTCGCTGTTGAGGAAAATGTGTTCGAGTATTTCGAGGACGATCCTACGATTAGGATGATGTGCGATTTCGCGCGAAGGGCGAACCTCCGTACCTCGGTGGCTTGTACACAGCGTATTGAAAAAAAAACCAGCACCCAGTTTTCTATGTAAGTGTGCAAGGATTAGAAAGTGGCGCCGAACAAAGTCGGTTGACATTTTGCGAGGGGTTTCTACGCCAACAGGGCACTGAAGATGACTTCAGTTCCCGCGAGCTCGGCTCGCGTAAAGGTGGATTGACGAATCCACCTTCACCCGAGAAGGTGCTTTCAACCAGCACAATGTGCATTGGTGGGTAGCGATGAATCCATGTCACGCTTTCGCGGAGTCATCGGGTACTATAGCTCTGCACGGAATGCGCGAAAAAGTAGCGGATGGGAAGGGTCCTTTCTTAGAGGCTCGACTTCCCCATCTGAGGAGGACCCGCCGCCGCGGCGCGCGCGGGAGAAGACAGCGTGGCCTTGACAGACATTCCGAACTCCAGTGTTGAAGCGTGAGAAGGAAGTTGCGAAGGCGAATCAGTTGTAGCGTTCCTCGAGTTCAACTGAGCTCCTTTGGGATGAGTGGGGGATGGCTGTCATTCCTCGTGACGTTTTTTTCTTCTTTCGTGGACTTCTCTCAAAGTTCAAGCGCACTTGGTTGCTTCTTTCCCAGGCCGCCAACATCGCCCGACCTGACACCAATGGAGTTTCGTCTTTTGGGGCTGTGTGAAGAATCAAGCGCCAGCCGATGCCCACGAGGTCGTCGCGCGAATATGGCAGTAACGAAACGAAATGAGTGTTGGCCCGCCCGCAAAACTTTTATCCGGGCCCCCTTTATCATTGTGTATAGCAAACTCAAGTAATGCTAGTACCTTAAACAATAAAAATATCCAGTAACAAAATCATATTCATCGGTCTACATTTAATATCCAAGTGTGGAAAAATCTGACTATTATTTAACGATGAAATTAAGACTTATAAAAACCAAACGAATTGCTCAGCATTATTGATTTAGAAAGAGGGTTACCGAAGCGGAAAAGAATCGTCCTGGAAGATGCTGTTTTTAATCTTTTATTGTATCAACTATCGCAAGTATCAAGTAAGTAATATTTCTAACAATCGCAAAACCTTCAGCCTTAAAGTATGCCCGAACGTTACGCCACTAAGTTGTGGTTCAGTTGAACGCCAGCGGATTATTACAAAATGTGCAACACCATCACAGCCCGTGCTCTGGCGTGTCAGCATATGCGTGGAGGACATTTTGAACATGTTTTTAAGGCTTGAATCATTCCTTTCTTGCTTTCCTTCCCTACTTCTCTGAATAAACATGTTTTTTCTAACATCTTAAAAATACATTTTTCAATAAAAAATATTCTATGTATTACAAATACAATGCAATAGTATTTGAAGTTAAGATTTAATTTACATATTTATGGTTATTCCTATTTCCCATAAAATTTGCATTTTAGATATTTTCCTTGTAAGTAAACTAGTGGTGCTACAGAACGCCACATACTTTTCCGTATTAGTTTTTCATTTTCTCAGGTCTCGGCTATCTATACGAACCTGCAAAGTACTCTTGCCTGCTGCCATTTATCGCCGTCCAAGTATATTTTTAAAAAAATCTTAATTTTTCCGTTTCCTGATAGTTAAACAAACATTTTAGGAATATTATAAAGAACAGTAAAACCTCGTCCTAAATGGCAATTTCCTTTGAAAAGCTTGTAGCCGTTTTTAAGAAAATAGCACTTAAGCTGTAAATTCGAAATTAAAGCTCTTTTTCACAGGAAATGTTTGAGTTTCCCAAAATCTTCATTAGAAGTCATTTGAAGCACTTAAACTCACAAATACAAGAGATTGCTGAAAATGTGCATATTAGCGGCATGAGAGAGCTTTAAAAAACAATTACGTAATTTCTGGAAACAAAATACTCCGAAATCAACTTAACGTCATATTAAAGAGTGCAATCAGCACTATCCGTTCCAAACAGTCGAAGCCGTTCTTGAAAAAATGACGTTTGAGTGTTTCTGAAAACGGTTAAGTTTTTGAAAAACTTTTATGTGGTAATATTTAAAGCACATGTACTCATAAATTTAATGTGAACAAATTGCCTCTAATATAAATATTAATGACGTGAGACTGAAGACAAAAATTATATTTTTGTAATTTTTGAAAAAACAAAAGGACACAACAATATCACATAGATGTCATCTGAGCAAGTACATCACGCACTATCTTTACTAAATGTTTAATGAAAACAAATTGGAGCCGTTTTTGAGAAAATTTTTAAAGATTTTTTGGAAATTGCGAATATTCGCGAAAACTACTAAAATTAAAAAAAAATGTACATGACCTTAATGAAAGAAATCGCTACGGAGAACAAATTTTATTTGGAGGAAAAACCTCTGTCTTCAATTTTGTAGTTGTAGGCGGGCGCATGAAAAATTTAAAAAAATTCGAAACTTCAGAGAAAAAAAGAGTACGTTACTCTATTTTTATAAGAAATTTAAAGAAAGAAATTATAGGCGCTTTTGAGAAAATTTTGAAAATGTTTGGGGGGCTTCATGGAAAGTACTCCCGAATTTTGAAGAAAGTTTTTCAAAATCGCAATGCCTCGCGTTGAACCAGACCGACGGGGGAATATCTTTTTTAATTCTACGTATAGTCTAAGCGCTAGTGGTGTTCACAGACGGAAGGACGTTTTAAAGAAGAAGAAAAAGCTTTTGCGGTATCAAGGGATACCAAACCGAGTATTTCCGTTGAAATCTCGAAATCAACCTTCCACAGCATTACATAACTTTTCCCTATACAACGTATGTGAGAAAGTAAGAATAGCCAATGTAAAGCTATGTAATTATTGGGGTATTATATGTGAAATCTACAAAAATAAGCCGAATAATATTTATCTGTTTAAAGAATGTATTTAACTATAAAATAAAAATGTTAAAAATTGATTAATTTTGGACACAAATTAAAAAAAATAATATTTAGTACGTAGATATATAACTGAAAGATCTAAGACTTGCATGGAAACGTATTTCTAACTAATTTAAAGTAGCAAAATATGTTTAAAAAATGAATTAAAACCAAAATATGGGATTTGAAAAAATGAAAAATCTTTGGGTTACAAATTGTTTCTCTTGTATAAACAATTGTGTTTTCTCTGTGCGCAGATTTTCGTTGTACATTATGAAATTATCAAAGAAAAATGTTGAAAGTTACCAAATGTGTCCCTGATGTAAACTTTCTACTCCTTTGCATTCTGTAATGTTGCAACCTTGAGTTGCACGTCCTTCCTTTCAAATTTGAGAACGCTATGAAAGTAAATAATTCAGTACTGCAGTCAATAATTCGCTGGCAAAGAGAATTGAAATAAATCGTTGAACAGAACAGGTATAGAAAATTTAACAACAAAACCAATACATTATTAAATTGAACAAATGGTCGTCACCTGTTTACGTACGTATCTGCTAACTACAAGGTAAGCGAAACTCTCAGGCGAACATAATGTTTTCAACTGCTTCATGAAATGGTTTCACGAAGTAACTCCAAGATTTGAAAGGGAGGTATGCTCATGGAAAAGAAAAGCGAAAAATAGAATGCTCATTTAAATTACGGATATTCAACTTAAAGAATTGAAACCATTTGTCGCGACTTCGATGATTCACAGAGAACAGTGCAGCATGTTTTGAAAAATCAGTTTTTTCGTAATACATTCCTTGCGGCAGCAGAAAGTGCATATTTGCAAACCACATTTTACTTACGCGAGAATAATGTGACGGGTGCTATTATGGAAGTTAACAGTTTGATTTATCAATCTTCTTGATTGAGAAAAAAATACTATCAATTACATCAAATAGATTGTGCAGCCATTTATCGAGAAATCTGGAGCTGGCTAATGTTAACCTGGGGCTTCAGAAAATGACAATCTACTAACCAGCACATGTAATAATTCTCTATAAATAAATTATAAGCATACGTTAAAAAAATACTATTCGTACGTTGAAACATGTCACTTAAAATACACGTAAGTTATATTTTAATATATCCCAGGGTATGTGTATATACATTTTAAAATTATTTATAAATATTTTATTTACTATTACACCTTCGGAATGTTGCTTTTGAAATAAGTGTTCTTTAAAATTGCGAACGCAGTAAAAGATTCTAAAACAAAATGATCGAAAAATCCACTTGGAATAAAATATTACCTGACATGTCGCAGGCTTCCTCAGGGCAGTGAGGCACTTCCTGATTGCCCTGAGGAAGCCTGCGACATGTCAGGCGAAACGCCGGCACCCCAGCCAAAGACGCGGCGTCTCCCGGATAGCCGAGAATTTTTGCGCGTTGATACAGGTCAATGTGCGACGACACTATGGCCCACAGCACAAGGTGTTACTACGCCAAAGATATTATAACACGCATTTTATAGCTTTCAAATCGCAACGCTCGTTTGCTGTTAACTCGCGTCACCAAGTTTGCTCAAGTATCGTTTCGCAAAAACGCGGCTCCACACACTCGTATTCGGAGAGTAGTGGTGCAGGGGTGTCCAGAAAGGGGGGGGGGCAACTTGCTCCAGGTCTCAACTTATTTAGGGTCCTGAATTTTTTCATTCAATAGAAATGAAAAGTATATTTATCACTAATCTAAATTTAACGCTGTAAGTTATATATGATGCATGGATAAATTCATTATACATGGATAATTGTGAATTGGGGAGGAGGAATTTCCTTTATTTGAAATAAGGGTCCCCCTGGTATCAACTGCCCTAGGGTCCTGGTTTTCTGTGGGTGCCCTCGAGTAGGAGAGACTGCTCGTCGAATCAAGAGTGGTTGGGTTGCTTGCTGTTTGCCAAGCAACGAACGTTCGATCATCGCCCTATTCACCGCGTGTCGTTCTTTTGGACACTTCGAAGGAAGCGAACTTCCGCTGAGCACATAAGCTGCTCGGGATTGGGCGAACAGTAGTTCCATATTTGGCGAAAGTGGAATGTGTGAAGCCGCCTTGAGATACCGAGTTAAATTACGGCGAGCGTTTACCCACCACTCACGTGACACTAGCCTAAAATAGCATGCTCACTAGGTGAGTAGATTTCACGGTGTTCAGAAAACAGACGAACTTGACTTCCGGAGCAGGATCAGTAGAGTAGCCTGGTAGTTT